CAGAATATTGCGGGTGGTCGCTAGGTAGAAAAAAGTCTTTGAAGATCACTTACATGACCGTAGCCATGTAAGTGATCTTTACTGCCGCTAGATTCAATCTTGCATGGGAATGCAAAACCAAAAATCGTCAAAAATGTTACTTTACATAAAAATTTCCCTTATCACTACACTCCTACCGCAAAATCACCGGTTTAAGCCCAAAAGACGTTACTGTGTCTTAGTAAGCACTAGGTCAAATTTTTGACCACGAAGTGTGTTTTTATAAAGGAACTAACATGAGAAAATTTTTTAAAATCATCATTTAGACATATTCTTTCATTTTGCATTTACAACCAAAGGTGCCACATAATATTAGGTCGTTCCGAAAGTTCTTTCCGTTTTTTCAACATGTCATAAAAACAGGTGGAACCAAGAAAGAAGAACGCTTCAGGCACTGTCCGACGCAGCTTTCCTTCCTCTTTTCAACTGTTATATCCCTGTGCCGTTCGCTCTTGTGGTCAGTGAGATAATGGCCGAAATTTTGAACCCATGGTTTTTACCATGTCCAACTTTGGCAGTTTTTCACTATCTTCTTTTTTAACTTTTGGAAAAGCTTTGATAACAGTCGGATAGAGTAAACAAAGTGCAATTTTAAGCAATTTTTCGGCATCTACAGCTAGCCTCAAAACAATTTTAGAATTATTTTTCTGATGCTATCAAATTCCACTTTTGGAAATGCCAAAAGCCATAGAACATAAAACGGCGCACAACTAAGGTGTCATTCGACGCAGCTTCTTCTCCTCTTCCTGATGAGTGCTTTTTCTTCATAATTTGTGGGGTCTTTGGCGATAAAATTTCCATAAATCTTGATTTTAAACCCGCCTCATGACGTACCCGTGAAATGCTAAATCTTATACTTCGAAGCGGTAAACACTCAGTTACTTTGTAATAATAGTGTACAATCATAGGCGATTTTTGAAAGTTTCGAAAACCGAAGATTTGATGATGTTCAGAGCGTTTGTGTGTTTTGTGACTTCGGAAAAGTGAAGACTTCTGAAAAAGTTATCTAAAAAAATAATGAGAAGCCAGCTGAAATTGCCAAAAAATTGAATTGCATTGCACTTTGTTTACTCTATCCGACTGCTATTGAAGCTTTTCCAAAAGTCAAAGAAGAAGATAATGAAAAATCGCCAAAATTGGACATGCTAAAAACCATGGGTCCGAAGTTTCGGCCATTCTCTCATTGACCACACGAGCAAGCGGCACAGTAATATGAAAGTTAAAAAGAGGAAGAAAAGCTGCGTCGGACAGTGCCTGAAGCGTTCCCCTTTCTTAATTCCACCTGTTTTTATGACATGTTGAAAAAACGGAAAGAACTTTCGGAACGACCTAGTATATGTGCTACTGCTATGTAAGAAATTTTATTGAGTTTGGCTAGTGGCATTCCGCAAAGGAGTACCTAACTCAAAATCCTACAATTCGAAACTAATTTTGAAAGGTTCGTTCTCTATGGCTAGCCTACAGAGGAACAAGTTTAGAGATTTATCTTGGAGAATTCTTTACTATTTCTTGTAATACGACGATGAATACAACCTGAGGGTTTTACATGCTGTTTTTTTAACGAGTTTGTTAGCGAATCCTTCACGTAAGAACATTCCTCTCAGCTAAATGAGTTATCAAACACTTTGGTTTTTTTAATGCTCAAATCAACTTTTTGTGTTCAAATATCTGTAACATTTTCTGTAGTCGGCTGTTGTAGTGTCAAAAGAAAACCCCGCGGAAGTGTAAAGCACAGGGTCCAAACACGGCTGGATCCGGCTGAGCAGTACATTTAATAAACATGATAAAAGAAAATAGTTTTGAGAGGCTTTTTTTACCAGAAGACCTATAGCCCGTATGACGTAGGTATATCCCGTTGGGAAATGGAGGAGACAGTGTTGGAACGACCTATATCTCGATGTTTCATGAAAAAACTATATCCTTCACTTTCTAATCATCTCTCAGAGAATTCACTACCCTAGCATTATAGCGTGATAGATAAAGCGTATTAGAATATAAGACTATTTATCGCTTTTTATGATTCTCAAAGGATCCTCAGATTATCGTCTTTTTAGAGTCATTTGCCTTTCTTTGAACTTAATAAAAAATTTTCTGGTGCTCTGAGGGATCTATTATGGCTGTGCTTAGCATGTTTTGACGATCGCATATCAATGACCCTCTCAGCGGGAGAAAAGGGCAACTCTGAGGGAGAGCCTCATGACTCGTTGTTCTAACAACCATACCCCTTCACCAGTGGCGCTCCCAGGATTTCGGACTGGGGGGGGGGGAGGGCGACAAAATTTTTGCAAATGAAGGTGCATGGCGTTAGCCACACACTCCGAAAAACTTTTTGGAGTGCTTCCCAAAATTTTTGCTGGTCCCCAACCCCTAAAATCCGGAAAGATGGGGGCGTGGCTGACGCCACGCCTTCGAAAAATTTTTTTTACAAGGCTAATTTGAGATTTTGAAAAATTTTTAAGATTATTTTAATTACTTACAAAAATAAACAAGTCACTTGCACATTTTTATAACCCACGTAAGTAAAATACGAAACCCACGTAAGTAAAATACGAAAATTTCGAGACCCATTCCCGGGGAAGCGGGAAGGGGGCGCCCCCCCCCCCCTCGGTCCGCCACTGACCTTCAGTAATATTTCGGAGCCTCTCCTATCCGATTACCTCGGCATATACACAGTAACCATGAGAACAAGCCGCCCTCTGTCATCGCTCATATTCGGATGGAAAGCAGAGATAAAGATGCGAAGATCCACATTTGACACATTACTCTTTCTGGGAAATAATTTGCAAAAAATCTATCATCAAAAAAAGTCCAAAACCTTCGTAATGTGAAGCATGTTCTGTGTAAGGTACGTAATAGTATCAACCGAGTTTGGTTACCTTAACGCATGGTGAAAACGAAGTAAACTCAAAAGCAAACACTTACTTTCAGTTTAAGCTTAACGCGAAAAAATTCTGCCTCATGCAAAACCCTCTTTTTTTTATCCTTGCATCTGTCCCTATACGGGTTCTGCCGCTCTTGTCAGTCTCTTCCATTCTTTTCGTTCTAAGACTTGTCTTTCATCTAACTCAAGTTCTCTCAAGTCTGCTTTCACTCATGCAAAACCCTCTTGCGATCTCAAAATTTTTTGAGACTTCGCCACAGGCTAAAATTTTCTCTTTATTTTCTTTTTCAATTTTGTCTTCCATTTGTCATTCGTGTGAGTACCCGGCTGAATGAGTTCAATTTTCAACACGTTTACGATTGTGAGTTCAAGCTGTCTGCCTCTTGGGACAATGCATTCCACGGATAGATCGAAAATTTCTTGGCTAAATCATGCAGATCGTCAATTACAGTATGCCTACAGTTCTTTGAAGCAGGCGAGAAACACGAGAGCAATTCCTAGGGTTAGAGCGTAACAGAACTTTTAAAATGAATGTGTTCCAAATTAGCAGTCTTTTCAACAAAATTTAAGCCATGATCCCCATGTGGGTCACATTGTCTTAGGTGCAGGGCCCAGCACGAGGTGGCATTTGGGAATCTTGGAAACGAAGTCCCCTTTGACACTGCAGAAGTTTACGAGTAACCTTTTGTGAATTTGTGGAAGTACGGCTTATGATCTGCGGCGATGAATGGATAAAAGTGAGAAAAAAAAACAGAAAATTAGGGATAAAATTAGAGAAGACGAAAAAGAAGAAGGTTTTTATGTTGTCAAGCTCCGTAGAAAAGCAGAGGGGTAGAAACTTTAGTTAAAGCGAGTGCCTGTAGATAGAGTCTAATCTGAAAAATAACTTTATAGAAAAACTTCCGAAAATTTATGCGACGAAATGGGTTAATTATGACTTTGTTTGGTCTTGCGCAATCTCAGGGTGCTCCCAGGTTGCGCGGGAGCAACCTAAATTTGGAATATACTTACAATGTCCTTCATTCACATAACTTTTTCATAATTTTTCATATTTGTCTTTTCTTCATCGTCGCGAAGCTATATACCAAATTTGATGGCCCAATATTGCTAGTCGAGTAAACACTAATTGTTTATATTTTTGTGCATGAAGATCATGTTCTAACACGTTGGGAATCGTATGAACATAAGTTGGTCACTTCTTGTTTGTAACATGTTGACTGGATTGACGTGTTAGTGGTGTAGGACGTTGAAGCCTCAAATTCGGGCTTACTAATATCTGCTGCATGACAAAGGCGGTTGCCCAAATAGGTTGAAGGTTGTCGCGCACTCGGCGCGCGGGCAACTGTCAACCACCGGGCGCGCGCACGCTCGGTCAGCGGTCATCCACTGTAGCGTGCGCGTGCCCCGTGGCTGACAATTGCCCGCGCGCCGAGTGCGCGACAACCTTCAACCTATTTGGGCAACCGCCTTCGTCATGCAGCAGATATTATATGTAAGAATAATGCTTCCTATCCTATCCATTCCGCAAATCTTCCCAGAGTACCTTACGATTTCCCTTTTGCTTCTCCGAAAACGACATCCAGCGTGTAAACACCACCTCTGCTAAACCCTGCCTAGATGACACATGGTCTTTTTAATAAAATTTAAGCCATGACCAACCATGTGGGTCACATTGTCCCAGATTGCATTTATTGCATGACCCACCATGTGGGTCCCGTTGTCGTCAGTGTGTTAACATGTTCCTCTCTAAAAACGTGCGTATCCTTGCCAAAGTGACTATCTAGAGGTAGTTGAAAAAAGTTAAGAACTCTCTCTCTCCTATATACCGCAATACATTCTACTGTCGCCTTCAAATGCGCTCGTCGGCCTCAGTGACAAACAATAAATGTAATGAACTTCTTACAACATCCTTATGTTTTGGTCATCGCATTCAAGGATTAAATAAGTTGACGTTATTTTGAGTCCCCTGTAAACTTTTACTTTCAAGAAAATGAAAGGTGAGAAAATCCAAAAAGTTTTGTCTAAGGGCCGAATTACAAGCAGACTTGCAGCCAACTGTTTATATCGTATGACTAGCTCACTAAAGCACCTGCGCAAACTTGCAGTTGACTCCGTAACCAACGAAGTCCTCATGTTCTTCACCTTCGCCATTCACTTGGAAGTTGGAGATGCTATACCTGCTGCAGTAGACGTAGTAAGTCCCACTCACTTGAAGAACCTGTAAATCGCATAGTGTCTATTCAATGACATCACTTCGCAGTTCACCTATGGTTTACTAGTGCGAAATCACACCCTTTACAAATAATGCAATCTTAAATCAAAAAGAACGGCAAACTACTCTAGCGACAGTAAAACCGGAGCAAGAGAAGATTTGCTCATACAAGGACGTTTAAGCGCCGTGTTAGTAAGATAAGCAGGGAGAAGAAGGGCAAATGTTTCTGCGTCACATCTTATGAAAATTCCATGAAAACAGCGACAAAATTGATTCTACAATGGAGCTTTATAATGGAGGTCGAAAAAAGCTGTTTAGATTTCACGAGTTTGGCGTACACTAAAGCCATTTCAAGACAAATTACGTTTCCGTTTGCCGCGCTGTCAAAGCTTTTGAATGCAAATGCAGCGCAAACAGATATCTTGTCAGACAAATCACGGGAGTTTCCCGAGGGGCAAGCTAATTTGCCAAACTTCCCGAGGGCTGCATCTAGCACGTAGGTGAATGGAGCCGTAAAAATGAGAACTTCCCGAAAGCATTGACGTCAAAAGCAACAAGTTAGGAACTTCCCGAGGAAGTCCTCGGAAAGTTAAAATGCAGAACTTCCCGAGGACTTAAATTTGAGGGAACTTCGGCGGAGCTGTTTTCCAAGTTTGCAAGCAACCTATCTGAGAGCACCATAATGATGAGCATAAAGTTTGATAAGCTCTAAAGCTCAAAGCGCTTCATTTCTATCCATCGCCGTTTAGAGGATAGGTGACCAGTTCAGTGTCGATACCTATCTGCCTCCTATCTATTGATGTCTCAGTTCACTAATTACCTTTTTGAGAATCGCTCATTGATTAGCGCAAGGTTAGCTTATAGCATTTATAGTATTATGAGCTTAGCTTAAAGCCACAAATCAATATTAGCAGTTAATGTACATATACAGAGTGCGGCAAAAGTCTGGGAGCCTAGTATTTTTTCGTACAAAACGAGAAGGGAAGTACCTAGAAACGAAAAATTTGACGCACACATAACTCGAACCATTGCAGATACAGTCCAGTTTTTGAATTGCAAAAGTGCCTCTTTTGGCTTCCACGCAGCCCTACAAAATCTTGGCAAGTCCACCTGTCATGGCACGCAGGTAGTCGTAATGGAATTCGCCTCACGTCTTCACAATAACTGCTTCTTTTACCTTGGCAAATGTGCAGCACGATAGAGCAAGCTTTTATCTAGAACATGCTTCCAAAAGAATTTTTTGCATTGCTTAAGAATAAAAACATTGGATTTTCAATTAGAAGCATGTGCTCAGATAACCGCCGGGGGCAGGCGGCCATGCGAATTTTGAGCAAGCGCGCACCGGAAAAATAGTTCGTTGATTTTTTGCCGCCCGCTTGCAGAAATTTGGAAGAAAGTTGGCGAAATTAAAGACGAATGCTTGAAGAACAATCGCGGTTTCTTTATGGATTAGCTGCGGCGCAGTGGCCGCATTCTCGCGGACTTTCCGCGAGAATATGCAAAAATTTCGGGGGCCGCGCGGTCCTTTATGGAGGACCGCGCAACCCCCAGGTACTTTCCGCTGGGAGAAAGTACCTCAAACTTGAGTAATTAAACCAACGGTGACACCTCTGCCACACAGAGTCTTACCTTCGCTCGACGTACGCCCGAAAATGCTTAAAAAGAGTCCGAGCGCTTGCTGAAAGTTTGGCCAGCGCTCGCTGAAAGAAATTATTTGCCGAGCGCTTGCAAAAATGCTGTATTGCTGCCCGCTGGCAGAATACGCGACCGTAAAGGAAGTGCCGTCCGCTGAAGGTTTGGCCACGCCCCAAAATTCTGCTGACCGCCTGCAGAAAAGCGCGAGTTTGCGGACCGCCTGCCCCCGGCGATTATCTGAGTGTACGTCGCATACCGGAATTTGGCTACAATTGCGCGAATAAAAACTTAAAATTTTCGTTTAAAAGGTAAAAAAAGTGTTCCCATGGCCGAATTTCAATACATTCTAATTTAGAGGACGTATGCAAAAAATACAGCCTTGGTTCCACTGCCTATTGAGTATTCTATAGCTTTTAAATTTGTTCTGAAGACGGATTTCCACTGACACGTAGGTAACATTCGCAAACTTTTATTTTTCGTTCATGCAAGAACAGCTCCTGGCAAAAGCAAAACTAGGATACAATATCGCAAAACCTCTTCTATGTTGTGTGCATCGAAGTTTTGTAAAATATCAACAGCATCTCTAGCTACAGCAAAAATTGTAAATACTCAAAATTCTGGTTTTTCGCTTTGCAGAAGTACTAGCTTGGTAATTTCCATTCTTACAAAAACATATGGCAGCCATTCCCAGCCAAATAAAGTGTATTCTGTAGAGGATGACCGCGGCATCATCTTATATATAAAGCTGAATGTCTGTTTGTCTGTCTGTATGTATGTCTGTCTGTATGTATGTCTGTCTGTACGTTGTTCCGAATAGAAAATTCCATTTCTGAACCGATCCGGACCAAACTTGGCACACATAGTTTGAGCTACGGGGCTGGGATTTGGCACAGGGGGGTAATCGAGCATGCTGATCACCCCCGTGGGGGTGATCAGCATGCTCGATTACACCCCTCTGCCAAATTCCAGCCCCCTAGATCAAATTTTGCAAAAAATCAATAAAATCGATAAAAGTAATGCACGGTTTCGAAGACTAATATTGTATTCGTAATCAGCATGCTCGATTACCCCCTGTGCCAAATCCCAGCCCCCTAGCTCAAATTTTGCAAAAAATCGATAAAATCGATAAAAGTAATGCACGGTTTCGAAAACTAATATTGTATTCGGAATCCCCATGCTCACTTACCCCCCTGTGCCAACTCCCAGCCCCGTAGCTCAAATTTTGCAAAAAATCGATAAAATCGATATCGATCGATGACAAAAAGTAGCCTATGACACCCGCCGGGGCCCGAAGTGTATGTGTGCCAAGTTTGATTCGGATAGGTTAAGAAATGGAATTTTCTATTCGGAACATACGGCGGAGCCGGGTAAGCCAGCTAGTGTGGCATAAAATTAAATTCAAAACCATCAGTATCTTTGTAATTGCAGTACTGCAAAATCAGGCTCAGACTTTTGCCGCACCTTGTGTACTAGGTTGATGCAAAAATGGCCGTTCCGCGAATTCTCACGTTAACGTACTATAACTATTTCCATCGGAAGCAGCAAACCTTTTATGTTCTCCCTCAACTATCGCTCCTGTGAAATGTTGCATTGTAACAACGCGCAGAAAATTTCGGTCGAGAGGTAAATCTGCCAACGATCGATATAAGCTTAGAATTACTTGGACGGGAGAGCAATCTTTGCGTGAGTGATAGTTATGGAGAATCTGTTATGCACCGCCTGCCAACTCGACTTCCAAAACTACCAGGATACTGTCACCGTGTTTATTCAAGAGAAGAAAAGTTTGAGACTGTGACTGCAACTTACCGAAGGGAGATTTACTTTCAATGCGTCAGCAGCTTCCTTCTGGACATCATCATCACTGCTGAATGTAATGCGTTGATTTCAAAATGAAAAATTTCAGCACCTACCTATAAAAAAAATCGACAGCATCTGGATCTTCGACATAATCCTCAGGTTGCTGGACTTCCTTTCCGTTATTTTTTTCATCCCCAGCTGCATCAGTTAGAGATGAAGGAAGCGAATCTTGCTTTTCCTCGCCACCCTCCAAGAGAGGCGCATACTTTTCATCGATCGGTTTTTCATTTGCAGCCGTCTCGTTTTGCCTCTTTTCCTCATCACAGTTGTATTTCTATACAATCTCATATATGATTTTGGCACTAAAATTGCTACGTAATTCAGATAAACATTTACTTTTCTAATCGTAGACCTAACTTTTACAAAAAGGACGATAACTGCCTTACAGCTAGCTTTCTTACATATGGAGCGGTATCTGTTCATCGTCCACACGCAACTTTGTCTCTCTAATGTGTGTACGCATGTTCCAAATGGAAAATTCCTTCCAGGCGATCCGGATCAAACCTTGCGCACACGCTTCGGGGCGGGACGGGTGTTGTGCTCTACTTTCGTCAATCGATTTATGCAAAGATTGAGCTATGGAGCCGTTGGCACGGAGGGTAATTGAGCATGCTGATCACTTAAACAATATTTTCCAGAAATATCAAATGGTTTTATCGATTTTTTGCACACTACAGGTTACGGAGATGGGTGCACAGGGGGAAGATGCTACTCACGAAAACATAGGGTAGTGACTCTTATCATTGTGAATGGCATTGCCGAGCGAAGCCGGGTATGCCAGTTAGTCAAAAATAAAACTACGAAAGCGGCCTCAAAATTTGTGGCAAGCTATCCCTTAAAATTTTACAGATGTTTTCATTTAACATTAATCGAACATCATTGCAGAAGGCTTCTATCGTGCACGAAAATACCGAAAGGTTCATGAAAAAGTACCGACGCATGAACAGAATTTGGGCTAATGTTGCCAATTCCGCAGGCTTACAAGTCTTTGATATCACGTTTCGATCTTCTCAAGTGCTCAGTGCTCTGTGTACTAGTAAAAACACACAAAGTTTCCGCGTCTACACTACTCTTTACAAACCCTGCCGACTTCAAAGTAAGGTTCATAATAGGTAGCTTGGGGCCCCTAATGATAGAATATCGTTGCTGGGTAACGTGATTCTCGTGCAGCTGCTACCGCAAGTGCCTGCACATATCACAAACACCAAAATGTTCTTAGACCCCTAAGTAGGACGCAGCTACTCAGATAACCGCCGGGGGCAGGCGGCCATGCGAATTTTGAGCAAGCGCGCACCGGAAAAATAGTTCGTTGATTTTTTGCGGCCCGCTTGCAGAAAATTGGAAGAAAGTTGGCGAAATCAAAGACGAATGCTTGAAGAACAATCGCGGTTTCTTTATGGACTAGCTGCGGCGCAGTGGCCGCATTCTCGCGGACTTTCCGCGAGAATATGCAAAAATTTCGAGGGCCACGGTCTTTTGTGGAGGACCGCGCAACCCCCAGGTACTTTCCGCTGAAAGAAAGTACCTCAAACTTGAGTAATTAAACCAACGGTGACACCTCTGTCACATAGAGTCTTACCTGCGCTCGACGTACGCCCGAAAATGCCTTAAAAGAGTCCGAGCGCTTGCTGAAAGTTTGGCCAGCGCTCGCTGAAAGAAATTATTTGCCGAGCGCTTGCAAAAAATGCTGTATTGCTGCCCTCTGGCAGAATATGCGACCGTAAAGGAAGTGCCGCCCGCTGAAGGTTTGGACACGCCCCAAAATTCTGCTGACCGCCTGCAGAAAAGCGCGAGTTTGCAGACCGCCTGCCCCCGGCGATTATCTGAGTATAGGGATTGTGTCATTGAGTCCCTTAATGTCACCTCTTTGTACACCAACGTTTCAAATAAAGCCGCTATGCAGGCTGTAATTGAAGTTTTTTAGGGGCATCAGGACTCTTTATAAATGCGCAGACTCAACATCAGGCAGATCATGACACTCCTGGGGGAATGCCTAAGCTGTAACATTTGCCGGTGGTCGGGGCAGTATTTTCAGCAGGTAAGGGGGTTAGCCATGGCGCTTGGCACCCATGTGGCCATAGCCTTCATGTCTAAAATTGAAAGTTCTGTACTCGCGCGAAGGCCGCTGGTATACTGTCGCTACATAGATGATTGTTGCATTGTATGCCAACAACAAGAAATGGACATCTGCTACAATCTTCTCAACAGGCAGTCTCCCAACATAAGGTTCACTCGGGAGACACCTCTGACAACTGATTAGCCTTTCTTAATGTGCAGATACATGTATGCCGTGGCTCATACAAAACTAAGTTGCATCGCACCCAGCAGCAGGATCATCATTGTACATTACCGCTCTGCCCATCCCAACACACTAAAAGGTCGGTGATAGGCAGCATATTCAAAACAGCCAAGACGTTCCCATCCAATTCTTGCGAGTGCGAGGGATGCACAAAAATCGCGCAATCCAATGTTTATCCCAAACCAAAGCATGTCGAATATTGGAAATGAAAGTTCTTGACCCATGCTATAGTCACTCAGTTAGTAAACGCGAAGCGTTAAGAGTTTTGATGGCATCAAGCGCTTTTTTGATTAAATAGACCAGTGGCCTCCGTGGATACGTAGTTGAGATGCTGCACATAATGAATATCCGACCCGTGACAAGAGCGGTCACTTAAATAAGGTGAGCAATAGCTAGCCAGTCGCCTGAGAGTCCAAACATTGCTTTTTTTGCATTCGAGACCGTATTCTCCTACAATACCGCTCACAGAATGCGCAAAATTTCTGTGAATGTCGCAGAATTCCAGGAATTTCGCGAAGGTTCGCGAAATTTCGGGAATTTCGCGAAATTTCTGGAATTCCGCGATATTCCGGAAATTTCGCGAAATTCATGTGAATCACGCAAATTACGCAGGGCCATAACTTCTTTCCGAATGAGTGTATTCGAAATCCGAAAACAGCATTGTATTCAGCTCGTCAAGGCGAATCTTTTGGTATACAGGTTGTGTCCAGTACCTTGTTTTCAATAACCTTGAATTTGCACGCGGACGCCTCTTCGGATGGTGGTAACGCAAGGAACTTCACACATAGGAGACTGCCGTGGGCACCACTCGATAGTACTCCTTCACTAGATTATCGTGCGCTAAACAGCAGCCGAAGACTCTCTTTCGAAAGAGATAGAAGAGCTGATAAACTCTGGAAAAATCAAGCTGTTCCAAGTTCTACTAGCCGTAACTTGCTTCAGAATAAACATTTTCGAAATCCGAAAGCAGCATTGTGTTCATCTCGTCAAGTCGAATCTTACTTTGTACAGCAGGCCCTTGAAATTCCGTTTCCAATTTTTTCAAAATTTTCTGCGCGCGTATATTCACAAGGTCGCAACGCAGCGCACATCAAACATAAAAGACTACGGTAAGCATTGTTGGACTGTGCTGCTTTCGCAGATTATCGAGCGCTAAAAAGCAACCGGAGAATCTTCTTGAAAAAAGATAGAAAAGCTGGTGAATTCTGGAAAAATCGCGTTGTCTCAAATTTTGCCCACCGTGACCCTAAAATGAGAAGCTCTAATGCTAAGCAGATGTGATTTTCGTAATCAGCAGGTCAGAAACCTCTATGAGCAAGTTTTCAAAGAAATTCGGGTGATTTGATTTTTTCTCGTTCTACGCCCTGAAGCTCGCCGGTGGGTTTTGGTCAAAATGTCGATGGTCTCGGATTGTAAGGAAACTTCGCTCAGAGAGGTTTTCGAACACGCTGTTTACGATAATCGTCTTTTGCGCGGAGTACAGAGTTTTCTAGCAGAGATATGGTGAGGCAACTTTAGCTGACACGAAAGTTCGTAGATTCGCCTGCATTTTTCGAGCACCTCTTAGAAAATCTGCTTGATTGCCTCTGCAAATGAAATTCACTAGAAAGCGAGCTATTTAACGATGCATGCATCCGGCTTCAATCTGTAGCAATCGCCGAGTTAGGGGCCTACGAAATCACGTCCTCATGAGTTTTGCCCAAAATGTAAAGATCGCCTGTTTCGTAGAAATTCCACCTAAGTGACTGTAAGAATTTTTTGTTCACCAATTTTGTGTTTACTTCGCTTAAGGAATGCTGTACTGAAAGTAATTTAATAGATCTGAGCTCTAGCCACGAATCTGCTTTGATATTCACCTAAGGGCTCAGGCACACACAACCACCAGATCCAATACAATAAGATCTCAAGGATCTTTCGAGTTGAACATAAAATTCCCGACCACAGTATCTTACAGTCACTTAGGTGGAATTTCTACGAAACAGGCGATCTTTACATTATGGGCAAAACTCATGAGGACGTGAATTCGTAGGCCCCTAACTCGGCGATTGCTACAGATTGAAGCCGGATGCATGCATCGTTAAATAGCTCGCTTTCTAGTGAATTTTATCTGCAGAGGCAATCAAGCAGATTTTCAAAGAGGTGCTTGAAAAATGCAGGCGAATCTACGAACTTTCGTGTCAGCTAAAGTTGCCTCACCATATCTCTGCTAGAAAACTCTGTACTCCGCGCAAAAGACGATTATCGTAAACAGCGTGTTCGAAAACCTCTCTGAGCGAAGTTTCCTTACAATCCGAGACCATCGACATTTTGACCAAAACCCACCGGCGAGCTTCAGGGCGTAGAACGAGAAAAAATCAAATCACCCGAATTTCTTTGAAAACTTGCTCATAGAGGTTTCTGACCTGCTGATTACGAAAATCACATCTGCTTAGCATTAGAGCTTCTCATTTTAGGGTCACGGTGGGCAAAATTTGAGACAACGCGATTTTTCCAGAATTCACCAGCTTTTCTATCTTTTTTCAAGAAGATTCTCCGGTTGCTTTTTAGCGCTCGATAATCTGCGAAAGCAGCACACCCACCGTGAACTTAAAATGAGAAGCTCTACTGCAATCCAGCAGTGCTTACTGTAGTCTTTTATGTTTGTTGTGCGCTGCGTTGCGACCTTGTGAATATACGCGCGCAGAAAATTTTGAAAAAATTGGAAACGGAATTTCAAGGGCCTGCTGTACAAAGTAAGATTCGACTTGACGAGATGAACACAATGCTGCTTTCGGATTTCGAATACACTCATTCGGAAAGAAGTTATGGCCCTGCGTAATTTGCGTGATTCACATGAATTTCGCGAAATTTCTGGAATATCGCGGAATTCCAGAAATTTCGCGAAATTCCCGAAATTTCGCGAAACTTCGCGGAATTCCTGGAATTCTGCGACATTCACGGAAATTTTGCACATTCTGTAAGCGGTATTGTATATTCGAACTCTCCTCAATGTCTTCACTCTGAGATAAGCTACTGTTCACAAGCTTCATCCGCCATACATGTCTTGCCATCATTTTTGTATGCATAACTACAACCATCGCTCATCAGGCATAAATAGGCTTGTATTAGTTGTTGCATCGTCACCCTTCTTTTCTCTTTTTTTTCCTTTATTGTTCGCATGCATTCTCCTGTATTTCTCGTTTTTCGCGCATGCGCGTTGTCCATGGTTGGCGGTTCCCTTGCGCGCCACTCTCGCATGCGGTTATCTTGGTGACCGCCTTCGTCATACCAGTTACTGATTGTGAAAAACTTGAACAAAATCACAGTAAAGGATGCACATGAACCTAAAGCACGCTTTTAGTAGTAGTCAATAATCCTGCTGCTTTCTAAGCTAACCCAGCAGGAAAGGCGTTTTTGAATACGACTGTGGGAGTCGGTCAGTTCTACTCTTTAATAAGCCCACTAGGTAAGCTTATCGAAAGGGTAGCTAACGCGGTTAGTTCGCTGATGAATACGCCCACAGATTTGGCTAGACGCTGTTGCCTTCAGAGTTTGGTCCATATTTGGGATGACACGCTTGCTAAAACCTGTTTTCGTCATTAAGAGGGTACCAAACACTGCACTCGTGCGTATCAATTTCAAACATCATCCAAATTTCATAGTTTCGTACTGCATTTATATAGAAGTGCAAGGCAGAGTATGGAGCGTATGGTTTTGAAAAGCAATTTTTGCAAACGCGCTATATCTCCGCCGTCACATCCTGAGGTCCTAAAGGTGATTAAAGAAAAGTAGCAAGGATTTCGGGCTGTGCAAGGAGTGAGGTCGTTTTTGAAAAAAAATTTAATCCATGAGATATTCCTTAATGCGACTACTTACTTGTTAGTAAAAACTCCCATCCGTTCTCTATTTCTCTACAAAATATCTGCACAGGATTGAGAGTACTAGGATGAAAAATGCCCAATACTGGGTTTTGAGGGTCTATGCACAAACATCCTTGCGAGGAGGGGAACGCTGCGGCAAAACGGAAAGCTTCATACAGCGAAGGTTTGAAGTTTCGTTTCAACTGTCTGTCTATTCTTAGGTGTTTCCCTTCATTGTAAACGTCTGGACCATATTATTGTATAAGCCCATTTTTCAGCTTCTTGATAATCATCAAATGATTCCGGTGGTCCTTTTTTCTTCAAAACACTCTCCCTTTTTTGAAGTTAGAGGAAACATCCCAAAGTCATGCTAATCTCGAAAACTCAACATCACTGCTTCTAACTGGAATTGGATGTTGGAATACTTGAAGATTTCCATGGAGCGCAAGATTCGACTTTGACTTATCGAGATTTACATTACTTTGATACACCATTTCTTCTTATTAGAAACATGCTCAGCATTGTTAGGTAATCAACGCAACTAGGGGACGTTTCAGTGATACAAAGAAAGATAAGTGACGTGGAAAGCCGGCGTGGCAGGAGTCCCAAAACTTAGGGCCGCATGCACTAACATCCCTGCGGCGAGGGGAGCGGCGTCCCCAATGATGAAAAAGCCGCAGCGGCGTCCGCACGCGGTCCCTCCATAACGGGGGACGCCGCTCCCCTCGCCGCAGAAATGTTAGTGCATACGGGCCTTAGTCTCTTTTCCTCGCAGGGGTACTTGGACCTCCAGAAATTCCTTGAAGGACATCGCACTTCACGAAGCCAGAGGGCGGCTCCGCCCATCATTTTTCCCTCTAGGTGCCCTCATTCGAATTGTGTACACGTACTGTAAGACGTGCTTCATTATATATGAGGAGAATAGACTGAAATCGAGAAGCAAAAAAATTCTAGGTTTCTATAAGGGTTTGAAATCTGTAAATGACTGCAGCTGAATTTCAGCATTTCGAGTTATGTTACACATGTTTTCGGATGAAATGATGCTTCCTTGAATTGTAAGTGCTCGCATTTAAGTAAGTTTGTGAACCATATCGTATTGATATGAATCAAGCAGAAGTTATGAGTCTGACAATCACAGTACATAACAGAGAACTTAGTCAATTTCACGCAAGTTCTAAAGTTGGAACCCTTAGCCAACTCTTCGAACATGTGGCAAAGTTTGGTATTCTAGTGCATTGGTTGGAAATCCTACGCTTGAAAAATTCTTTTTGATATTTTGGGTTTCTTTTGATCATTAGAGTGGCTGGAATGAAAAACACATTCGAATATGTGATGGCAAACGAAAGTAAAAAAGTGTAGGTGTTCAGCTATCCTAACTGTTGAACAAAGCGCTGAGTTGTAAACTGGAAATAGAGAACGGATGGGAGTTTTTACTAACACTCAATCCTGTGCAGATATTTTGTAGAGAAATAGAGAACGGATGGGAGTTTTTACTAACAAGTAAGTAGTCGCATTAAGGAATATCTCATGGATTAAATTTTTTTTCGAAAACGGAAACTTTGATATAATTTTTTCAGAATAGATCTTTCTAATGTTGAGAAGGTAATTGGGCCCTCAAACTCTTGATGCTAAATTATCTCGATCAGAGAACCAGTAATGTACAATTGATCAACTAGATCCTCTAATTTCGATTCCGGGATCGATTTGAAAAATTGCAATTCTTCTCCTCTAAAAGAATGTTTAGATGCTATTTTCTAAAAGGATGGCACAGCTGAAGTTTCCAAGCCGCCAACTTGAGAAATTATAACTATGTTTTTCTTTTTTCCCCATTTTTCTCTCTTATTACCTTAATACCTGAATCTATGTTCTCGCTGCTTGCACATCTTACAATGAGACCAGTAAACTGGTGAAGCAATGGGCGGGGCCGGGTGTATGCCAAGATGAACGATAGCTGGAAGTAAGCATGCTGTACCCCTGCGGTTGTCAATATGCCGCGTATGAAGTGTTATTTTTCAAAGCGAAGCGCTCTTCAATTGATTGAAAATGGTGTCGAACCGTAAAAATTGGGGCATACCGAGCTCCTAGCGTTTTTTTCCAAATTCTTAAATGTCGCCATAGCGTCGATGTAAAATTTGAAATATACTTGATCTACGCAACGCACATGGCTGGCACTATGGTTCATGTTGGCTGCTCCCCACGGGGCCTGACCTCTGAGGCGGAGGTGCTAGAACCCTCCTGGGTGTAAATGCTGGTGCGAAGCTATAAAATAAAGGATAAAGGATTCGGCGTCTTCAATACCCTCTGAGGGCATGCGCCGAACGCACACACTAACTTCATGGTCGAAGAGGCAATTGTATGCGTGCGAGCCTATTACAGTGGTGGTGCGAAGTTGGTGCAAGGAAAGGTGCTAGGAACTCCTGCGCGCCCTCTTTTGGGAAAAGGGACGGCCAGCCGCCGGTAAAACTGTAATTTGAGAATGCGCTTTTTATCAATATGTTTACACAAAGGGGTAGTGGAGACATTGAGGATGGATAGTGTAAATTCTAGGAGTTATTAACTTTAGAATATGGAGCTTCTTTTCTAGCTTTCTCCTCTCCCCCATGGAGATAATCATGCATGCGGCCCATGGGATTTCAAACTATTGTCTGTGCAAATGCTTAGAAAAGATGGTATTTTTGCACATGACAAGTTAAGTTACTTGATCTTGATTGCTTAGTTTTGAGGTAACTCGAAGAATGATATCCAGCTCCCAAAAGCACGAAGATTGAGGCTCTTCTAACCAAGTGACACTACAGCGTACCTATTTTCCAAAAAACTTATTTTTCTTCCGTTGGATATAACCACCGAATCAACGACGGCATTCTTGACCCTGCTAATATAAGTGTTAATTAGACTCTACAACCAACCAAAAACACTTCTTTTCCCTCCAAAGTTTGCTCAAAGCCATTTACCGTCTTTTCTCGCCAGCCACCTTGGCTCTTTATACAGTCTTCTGAGGAGACAACAGTCAAGAACAAAATCTGAAACCATGACAATGAGTAATGATCGACAAACACTGTTGTGGTTCAATTTGCTAACCTCTAGAACAGCGCTGGTGAGCATTCCGTGTAACTGAAATTTTGTGAAAGATTTACCGCTTTTATACGGAAAGTGGATACAATAATAATTCTTTTGCTGCTTTACACAAACATACGTTGTGTTGCAGGAATGAAGTACATTCAAAGTATTTTTAGTACACGAAAGCCAATGTTGACTTGAAGAATGCTCTTATTAAGCCGATTGAAAACTAAATTTTTAGTATCAGTGTGAGTTTGGCTAGAGACAACTCGTCGAAAGTTGTGTATGCTACAAAAATTACATGCTAGGTATTATATGTAGAAAATAGCAGCTTGAGGAAATAGGAAAGCTGGGATTAAATTCGGGTTTTTTTAATCCATGCATGAGGACATCATTCATCTATCTTATATATAAAGCTGAATGTCTGTTTGTCTGTATGTCTGTCTGTATGTCTGTCTGTCTGTATGTCTGTGTGTACGTATGTTCCGAATAGAAAATTCCATTTCTGAACCGATCCGGACCAAACTTGGCACACATACACTACGGGCCCCGGCGGGTGTCATAGGCTACTTTTCGTCATCGATCGATATCGATTTTATCGATTTTTATCGATTTTTTTGCTGAGTTCACCTACGGGGCTGGGAGTTGGCACAGGGGGGTAATCGAGCATGGGGATTCCGAATACAATATTGGTTTTCAGGATTATCGATTACTTTTATCGATTTTATCGATTTTTTTGCAAAGTTTGAGCTACGGGGCTGGGAGTTGGCACAGGGGGGTAATCGAGCATGGGGATTCCGAATACAATATTGGTTTTCAGGATTATCGATTACTTTTATCGATTTTATCGATTTTTTTGCAAAGTTTGAGCTACGGGGCTGGGAGTTCGCACAGGGGGGTAATCGAGCATGGGGATTCCGAATACAATATTGGTTTTCGGGATTATCGATTACTTTTATCGATTTTATTGTTTTTTTTTGCAAAGTTTGAGCTAGGGGGCTGGGAGTTGGCACAGGGGGGTAATCGAGCATGCTGATCATCCCCAAGGGGGGTGATCAGCATGCTCGATTACAACCCTGTGCCAAATTCCAGCCCCCCAGCTCAAATTTTCAAAAAATCGATAAAATCGATAAAAGTAGTGGACGATCTTGAAAACTAATATCGTATTCGTAATCAGCATGCTCGATTACCCCCCTGTGCAAAATCCCAGCCTCGCATGTCAAAATTTACAAAAAATCGATAAAATCAATAAAAGTAATTGATAATTCTGAAAACTAATATTGTGTTCGGAATCCTCATGCTCACTTCCCCCCTGTGCCAATTCCTAGCCCTGTAGGTGAACTCTGCAAAAAAATCGATAAAAATCGGTAAAATCGACATCGATAGATAACGAAAAGTGGACTGTGACACCCGCCGGGGCCCGAAGTGTATGTGTGCCAAGTTTGGTCCGGATACGGCGGAGCCGGGTAAGCCAGCTAGTGGACAATAATTTCTTCAATAGAATTATATTTTCTAAGAAAGCAGTCAACATCTTGATATCAAGTCTGTTTATTATTATTACTATACCTCAGAAAAAAGGTACGACTACAATACCGCTTACATTTTTTGAAAAATAGACGCGAATGTATGGACATGTATGGACATGTATGGACATGTCCATATATCAGCGTTGCGTGGCCATATCTCTCTTCAGAGTGGACGAATTCTGAATCCAAAGCCACCATTCGATTCAGCTCGGCGCGGAGAATCTTCTGATATATTGGAAGTGGGGGTACGATGTCTTCGATATTCCGTTTCCAGTTTTTTCAATTTTTTCTGCGGAGGTCCTTTCGCGAATATGTGAAGCAACGCCTACCCAACATAGAAGACTTTACTGAGCACTACTCGATGATACTGTTCTTGTAGATTATTATGCGCTAAAAAATAGGCTCAGACTTCTTTCTAAAGGAGGTAGAAGCGTTGGTGAATTTTGGAAAAATCACGCATTTTCAAATTCTACTCGCCATAACTTCCTTCGGAATAAGTATATTTTGAATCCGAAAGCAGCATCTTGCTCAGCTCATCAAGGCGAATCTTTCTATATACAGCATGTCCTTGATATTTCGATTTCAGTAATCTTAAATCTTCCTGAGGACGTCTTTTCGCGAAGGTGTAAAGCAGCGAGCATTGTCCCGAGTACATTCAGCAAGGATCTTTCGATAGCACTTTTTCTGTAGATTATGATGTGCTAAATAATAGCCGCAGGTTTCTTTTCAAAGGAAATGGAACGGCTGGTGAATAGTGGAAAAATCTTGTCGTCCCAACTTCTACTCGCCATATCAGCAGGATACGAAGCTATCTTGCTAAGCAGATGTGAGTTTCGAAATCAGCAGGTTGGATAACCTCTGTGAGCAAGTTTTCCGATATGTTCGGGTTATTCCATTTTTTCTCGTTTTACGCTCTAGAAGCTCGCCGATGAATTTTGATCAAAATGTTGATGCTCTTGAATTGTAAGGAAACTTCGCTTATAGAGGTTTTTGAACACGCTCTTTACGATAATCGTGGTCTTTGAGGATTACAGGGTCTTTTTGGAGAGATACGGTGAGGTGACTGTAACTTCATCACGATAGTGCGTAATGGCCGCACTTCTCGCGTATCTGTTAGAGACCTTGCTTGCTTGCTTTTCTCACTCAAGATTACTAGGAATTGTGCTATCGAAATGCATGAATTAGGCTCCAGTCTGTGAAATTCGCCGAGTTGCGAGCCTACGAAAACACGTCCTCATGAATTTTGCCCAAAATGTAAAGATCGCATATTCCGTCGAAATTTCTACGTGAGCGCTTGTATTAGGTCATTCGGAAAATTTTTTCGTTTTTGCACCTCCAAATTCAAACGAGCACAATTTTTCCCTGATTCAGCCTTTTTCCATCAAATAAACTGCATTGTGTTCAGCAAATTTCTGATTACACTCTTATAGTGCTCTTGTGCTTTTTTCTTGCGGAATGATCTCAGAGGAATCACTAAAGCCTGAAAAGGCGTTTTTGATTAGTCAATCTCTATTAGGTCCTATTATGTTTTAATAGGCACCGAGGAATTGGAAAATTCGGTGACTGGTAAAGGAAGGTCTAAAGAGTTTGAAAAATAGAAAGGAACCTCGGTGCGCAGTCAACCCCTTTTGTGAGAGCCACTTTTCTTACATGTGGTTTGGCGGAGTCATGAGCGTGGATGGCAACTCTCATAGCTTATACGTGCAAGTCTGCTCAGTTTTGAAATTTTGACAAACAGTCTTCAGAGCGACATCACACTACTCTGCTCTTACAGTACAATAGCATTTTAGCAAGTTTATAGCGCACAAGACTAGCAGGATTACATTAATTTGAGTGCATCACCCTTTTGGAATGACAGATTGTTCTGGTCATGCTTTCAATGCTTATTCTAAATGATTTACCACATTGTCGCTTCTCATTGCCGCACTTAGTCAATTTTTTGCTGTAATTAATAACTCAGGCTGGAAAAGGATTGCTACATAAAATTATGAGCGACGAAAGCAGAGTCAACGCGCCCTCAAACTGCGATTGCGACAATTTGTGGGTACATGTCGCTGAAATTTTTCGGTATTGCAGCTTTAGCGAAGGTGGCTCCTAATAAGGTTATATGACACTTCAGGGCCTGCTGATAATTTTACGCAACTATAATTGCGATTTAAAGGAACCTATGAGATGCTCGTTTATATGGCAGAAACATCTTCCAGGACACTGCAAAATATTAGCTTTCACTTCTCTAGATCTGAACTTTCTGAAGTAAACTTGAACTTACCTCAAAAAAGACGTGGTCTTGGCAAATGCATTGCGCACAATGATGGTTTCCTCAACGGTCTTACGCTCAAATTTAAGCTTAGAGAATACAATTATTCGATAATCGCGTTTTCGTATGTCGAATTTAGAGCCGCGTAAACTCCCCTACAAAGCGTCTTCTGCAATTTCGGTGGGATCCCAGAAACTAGAAGACTTCTTCTACAGATCCATATATGGCAACCCTTAACAGCCTCCTGACACCCTCTTAAAATATGGTATCAACATCAAAGGCGCAAAAAGGAAAAAACTATCCGAATGACCTAATACAATGCGCTGATCAAATCCTTCCATATTTTTAATGGATCTTATTGTGTTAGATTTGGTGCTTTGAGCTCTAGCCACGAAATAGCTTTGATATTCAGTTGAGCAGCTGAAGCAGACGCAAGCACCATATTCAGTGCAGTGGGAGACGTTCAACGAAGCGAACATAATATCTGCAACGAGCGTCATACAAGCGCTCACGGAGGAATTTCGACGAAATATGCGATCTTTACATTTTGGGCAAAATTCATGAGGACGTGTATTTGTAGGCTCGTAACTCGGCGAATTTCACAGACTGAAGCCTGAGTAATACACCATTCGATAGCACACTTCCTAGTAACTTTGACTGAGAAAAGCAAGCAGGCAAGGTTTCTGACAGATACGCGAGAATTGCGGCCAAAGTTACGTACTTTCGTGATGAAGTTACAGTCACCTCACCGTATCTCTCCAAAAAGACCCTGTAATCCTCAAAGACCACGATTTTCGTAAAGAGCGTGTTCGAAAACCTCTATAAGCGAAGTTTCCTTACAATTCAAGAGCATCAACATTTTGACCAAAATCCATCGGCGCGCTTCCGCGTAAAGCGAGAAAAATGAAATGACCCGAACATATCGGAAAACTTGCTCGTAGAGGTTATGCGACCTGCTGATTTCGAAACTCACATCTGCTTAGCAAGATAGCTTCGTATCCTGCTGATATGGCGAGTAGAAGTTGGGACGACAAGATTTTTCCACTATTCACCAGCCGTTCCATTTCCTTTGAAAAGAAACCTGCGGCTATTATTTAGCACATCATAATCTACAGAAAAAGTGCTATCGAAAGATCCTTGCTGAATGTACTCGGGACAATGTTCGCTGCATTACACCTTCGCGAAAAGACGTCCTCAGAAAGATTCAAGAATACTGAAATCGAAATACCAAGGACATGCTGTACATAGGAAGATTCGACTTG